AGCTCCTCACACAATCCAGTCTGGTTAAACCCAGGATGGATCGTAGGCAGGCCAGCCTAAATGTTTCTAACCGGCGAAGATGTTCCATTAGGGGGGTCCACGTTTCGCAAGCGTAGAGAAGGGAGGGAATGACCGTGGCCGAGAAGACCTGAAGCTTAGTGCGGAGCGACAGACCAGGTAGCTTCCACACAGCGTTACGCAACCGATGAAAAGATATTGCCGCTCGACTGATTCGGAGTGAGACCTCTGCTGTTAAACTGGGGCCAGTCATAAGCACACTGCCCAGGTATGGGAAACTCTCCACTCTCTCCACAACTGCCCCATCACCGATTGGGAGTTGTGGGGGTGGAGTGTCCGATGGTACAAAATACCCAGGCAGGTGCTTAGTTTTGGTGGGGCTGATGGTAAGGCCCCACCTCTTAGTGGCACGCTCCAGTCTCAGCAGCAGCGTCTCCAACTCCTCCTCTGACTGAGCAGCTATTACCAAATCATCAGCATACATAATGTGGTTGAGCAATAGGGAGCCATCCCTTGACCGCACCCGGGCATCGATTAGCCTCCCATTATATCTGTACCATATGGAGATTCCCCCGGTACAGCTATTGAAGGCTTCACGAACTACGTGGTCAAAATAGATGTTAAATAATGTGGGAGCCAGAGGACATCCCTGTCGCACCCCAAGGTGTACAGGGAATGGCTCTGACTCCCGGCCACGTAGTTTTACCCGGGCCCACTCACCAACATGAAGGTCCTTAATGATCGTGAGCAGAGGGTCAGGGACTCCAAAAGCACGAAGAACGACCCAGAGCCCAGGCCTAGACACACACACACATAAACACAGACACACATAGACACGCACACACATAGACACACACACAGACATAGACACACACACAGACACACACACATAGACACACACACAGACACACACACAGACACACACACATAGACACACACACAGACACACACAAAGACACACACACATAGACACACACACAGACATAGACACACACACAGACATAGACACACACACAGACACACACACAGACACACACACACAGACACACACACATAGACCCACACACATAGACACACACAGACACACACATAGACACGCACACACATAGACACACACACAGACACAGACACACACATAGACACACACACACACACAGACACACACAGACACACACATAGACACACACACATAGACACACACAGACACACACAGACACACACATAGACAACAACAACAACCGCCATTCGCCACTAAGTGGCGGTGACGTCACCACGACGCTTGTGCCAGGCTATGTGCACCCTGAGGCCACGTGAAGTGTCGAACGCCCGCTGGCAGGAGGTCACGGGGCAGACCCAGGTGCCACGGGTCGACTGACTGAGATGACTGGCTGATGCACCACCTGTGCCCCCTACTGTGCCAACCTGCTGTGCTTTAGCCACCCGGCGCTCCGCTCGCTGTTGTGAGCGTCGCTCCTCCGCCCTCCGTTGTTGTTGGAGGGCGACTGCCTCCAACTGCCCAGTAGCATCCTTCACGAGCCTCCTCCACAGAGGCCGATCTTGACACCGCTGGTACCAGTCATCGGCAAGTCCACTCAGCTCCACGTCCTCCTGTACCACATCACTCCATCTCTTCTCTAGCCCGTGCCGCGCCCGCTTAGCCCCCTCAATCCGGCCAAACAAAAGCTGTTTCGGCATGCGGTGGCTGGGCATGCGGGCTACATGACCCAGCCATCGCAGCCTTGCCTGCCGGAGGAGCTCACCGATGGGACCCTGCCCAGATCTTTCAAGGATTTGTGAGCTCCTCACACAATCCAGTCTGGTTAAACCCAGGATGGATCGTAGGCAGGTCAGCCTAAATGTTTCTAACCGGCGAAGATGTTCCATTAGGGGGGTCCACGTTTCGCAAGCGTAGAGAAGAGAGGGAATGACCGTGGCCGAGAAGACCTGAAGCTTAGTGCGGAGCGACAGACCAGGTAGCTTCCACACAGCGTTACGCAACCGATGAAAAGATATTGCCGCTCGACTGATTCGGAGTGAGACCTCTGCTGTTAAACTGGAGCCAGTCATAAGCACACTGCCCAGGTATGGGAAACTCTCCACTCTCTCCACAACTGCCCCATCACCGATTGGGAGTTGTGGGGGCGGAGTGTCCGATGGTACAAAATACCCAGGCAGGTGCTTAGTTTTGGTGGGGCTGATGGTAAGGCCCCACCTCTTAGTGGCACGCTCCAGTCTCAGCAGCAGCGTCTCCAACTCCTCCTCTGACTGAGCAGCTATTACCAAGTCATCAGCATACATAACGTGGTTGAGCAATAGGGAGCCATCCCTTGACCGCACCCGGGCATCGATTAGCCTCCCATTATATCTGTACCATATGGAGATTCCCCCGGTACAGCTATTGAAGGCTTCACGAACTACGTGGTCAAAATAGATGTTAAATAATGTGGGAGCCAGAGGACATCCCTGTCGCACCCCAAGGTGTACAGGGAATGGCTCTGACTCCCGGCCACGTAGTTTTACCCGGGCCCGCTCACCATCATGAAGGTCCTTAATGATCGTGAGCAGAGGGTCAGGTACTCCAAAAGCACGAAGAACGACCCAGAGCCCAGGCCTACTGATGGTATCATAGGCCTTGACCAGGTCAATAAAGCAGAGATGTAGGTCTTGTTGGAATTCCCTACACCTCTGCTGTAGCAGACGGACAGAAAATATGGCATCTGTGCAGGACCGCCCTTTCCTGAAACCGCATTGGGGCTCCGCAAGCCTCTCCTCAGCGTGCCTGGCAAGGCGATGCTGAATAATCCTTGCCAGGACCTTTCCCGGCACACTGAGGAGTGAGATGCCCCTGTAGTTGTTGCAGTCTGTGCGGTCCCCCTTCTTAAAAAGGGGGACCACCAGGGCATCCTTCCAATCCTGCGGAACCCGTCCAGTGGTCCAGACTGTTGTTATGATGTCATATAGGGCAGTCTGTGCACAAACGCCACCCTCCCTCAGCATTTCGCTTGGGAGATCATCTCTGCCCGCTGCCTTTCCTGGTCTCAGACTCCGGATCGCCTTCAATACTTCCTCAGCAGATGGCACCTCAGCCAGCCACTCACAGGGGGTGACTTCATCCAATATTTGAGGCACCGCAGCCTCAGCAGGGTCATCCTCACTTTGTGCCACGATGTTTTCCTGGCTGTGGGATTTTCCCTCCCCCAGGACCTCACAGAAATGCTCAGCAAATCTGCGAACCTGTTCCTGGGGGTCGGAAATTGGATCACCGTTTTTTCCCCTAATGATGGTAATAGGTGTGGCGCTGCAGGTTACTTTTTTGATGGAGTTAAATAGCGATTTGTGATCACGGGCCACTGAGGCAGACTCCATCTCCTCAGCAACCCGCGACCACCACCCATCCTTGCAGCGCCTCACGGCTCTCCGAACCTCCGAGCGAAGGCTGCGGTAAGCCTCCTCATTCTCTGACGTGGGATTCTGTAGCCGATGACAGTGGGCCTGTCGCTTTTTCTCAACCATCCTGAACAACTCCTCTGTCATCCAGGGTGTCTGGGGAGGTCTGGACCGCGTACCCAAAGCAGCCATTGCAGCTGCATGAGTCACAGTCCTAAACCTCGCCCATTTACCCTCGACATCAGGAGGAGTCGGGGACGATGCCAATCCCAGCCGCAAGCGATGATGAAATTCTCGCTTGCAACTTTCATCAGATAACTGAGACCAGGCCACTTTAGGTTGGAATGGGGTCCTGGGTGTACACCCACCACCGGAGTGGAAGAATGGCAGGCGCATCTTACAGATGACTAGTCGATGGTCAGAGGGCAGATCAGCTCCACGGTAGGTCCTGGTGTCAAGGACATGGGCTCGCATTCGCTGGTCCGTCACTATGTAGTCCAGCAGATGTTCTTGCTTGGACCCGGCATGCATCCATGATGTTGTGTGGATGCGCCGATGCCGGAACAGCGTGTTGGTAATTACAAGCCCATGGGCTGCACAAAAATCTAGCAGCCTCCTACCGTTGTTATTGAGCTGATCTGGCCCATGCCCTCCAATCACTCCAGACCAGGTGCCAGTATCATGACCAACTCGGGCATTGAAGTCACCCAGCATGATGACTCTATCCCGAGGGGCCACTTTAGCCAGCACCTGTGACAGGAGGTCATAGAAGGCATCTGACTCATCGGCTTTGCCTGCATCCCTCCACGGATGTTCATCTTCGGTGGGGGCATAAGTAACCACGACCACCATTCCTCGCCTCCGGTTGATGGGAAGGCGAGCCCAAAGTAGCCTGGGGCTTACAGCTTCCCACACCTCACCGCCACGCTCCCACGCCCCCTTCATTCTTTTGTTCAAAAGAAGACCCACACCCTGTTGTTTGGCAGTCTGCTGCCCCGAGTAGAGGACTGTCCACCCCTCATGGTGGCAGGAGCCAGAGCCGGTCCACCGGACCTCCTGAATGCCGCATAGATCCAGGCGGTACCGGTCCAGCTCCCGACAGAGGAGTGGCAGCCTCTCCTCTGCAGTGAGCGTTCGAACATTCCACGTGGCCACCCGTAGTGGCTTTTCGTTGTTTCTGGAGTAGCCCCGAGGGTAGGTATTCAATCTCCTGGCTCCGCCAATTGGGGTTTGGCCAGGAGACGTCATAGACGCCTGGCCCCCCGGGGCCTCCGGCACAAGCTTAGTTGTTACATATTTCACTTTAATTCGTGGTTTTGTGGTAATTAATTGAAGGTGGAGGGGTTACCAGCCCCTCGCACCCGTCCAGAGCCCCCGTTTAGCCCCTGTGGTGGACATATATGCCATGAGGGGAGGAGCCAATCAAAATTGGAACTCCCCCCACAGCACTGTCCACGACAGAGTTGCCCGTCCGGCACCGCGAGGAGGTAGGGGGTTGTTTTGCCGGCACACATAGACACACACACACACACAGACACACACATTCATGCTCTCCCCTCCTCCCCCACCTCCCCGCCACTACGGCATGCCGCCAGTAGGAGCAGCAGCAGCAGCAGCAGGAGGAATAGCAGGAGGTGGTGGAGGTGGTGGTGGTGGTGCAACAGTGATGAAGTCTCAGCAGGTGAACCTCCTGAAACCACAGCTGCTGAAGCAACAACAACAACAGCAACAACAACAGCAGCAGCTGCTGGCTGTTGCTGGTGGCGGTGGTGGTGGCGTTGGTGGTGGCACAGCGGCACACTTGCAGGCGGTGGCGCAGCTGCAGCTGCAGGCGGTGGGCAAGGGTGGAGCAGCAGCAGCAGCAGCAGCACGCACGGCGCACACCACCACACTCGCCACGCTCAAGGTGATGGTGGTGGTGGTGGTAGTGGTGATGGTGGTGATGGTGGTGGTGGTAGTGGTGGTAGTGGTGATGGTGGTGGTGGTGGTGGTAGTGGTGGTGATGGTGGTAGTGGTGGTAGTGGTGATGGTGGTGGTGGTGGTGATGGTGGTGGTGATGGTGGTGGTGATGGTGGTGGTGATGGTGGTGGTGATGGTGGTGGTGGTGATGGTGGTGGTGATGGTGGTGGTGATGGTGGTGGTGGTGATGGTGATGGTGGTGATGATGATGGTGGAGGTGGAGGTGGTGGTGGTGGTGGTGGTGATGGTGGTGGTGATGGTAGAGGTGGTGGTGGTGGAGGTGATGGTAGTGGTGGTGATGGTGATGGTGGTGGTGGTGATGGTGATGGTGGAGGTGGTGGTAGTGGAGGTGGTGGAGGTGGTGGTGGTGGTGGTGATGATAGTGGTAGTGGTGGTAGTGGTGGTGGTGGTGATAGTAGAGGTGGTGGTGATGGTGGTGGTGATGGTGTTAGTGGTGGGAGAGGTGGTGGTGATGGTGATGATGGTGGAGGTGGTGATGGTGGTGATGGTGGTGGTGGTGGTGATGATGGTGGAGGTGGTGGTGATGGTGGTGGTGATGGTGGTGATGGTGGTGGTGATGGTGGTAGTGGTGGTAGAGGTGGTGATGGTGGTAGTGATGGTGGTGGTGGTAGTGATGGTGGTGGTGGTGATAGTAGAGGTGCTGGTGGTGATGGTGGTGATGGTGGTGGTGATGGTGGTGGTGGTGATGGTGGTGATGGTGGTGGTGGTGGTGATGTGGTGGTGGTGGTGGTGATGGTAGTGATGGTAGAGGTGATGGTGGTGGTGATGGTGATGTTGGTGGTGGTGGTGGTGGTGATGGTGGTGGTGGTGATGATGGTGATTGTGATGGTGATTGTGATGGTGATTGTGATGGTGGTGATGGTGGTGATGGTGATGGTGGTGGTGATTGTGATGGTGGTGATGTTGGTGGCTGGGGCAGGGGTGTGTAGTGAGTGACTGACCCCCTCTGACCCCCTCTGCCCCCCTCTGACCCCCTCTGACCCCCCCCCGCCCCTCCCCCCAGGTGGCAGCAGCAGGCCAGCAGCTGGCTCTGGCTCCACACAAGGCGGTGGCATTCACTGTCACCACCACCGCCACCACCACGCTGAGCCCCCCTGCCGGTGGTGGTGCCGGTGGTGGTGCCGGTGGTGGTGCCGGTGGTGGTGGCGGTGGTGGTGGTGGTGGTGGTGGTGCTGTGAGCCAGGGGGGGGGCTCCCTGAAGGGGGGCCCGCCGACCCCCACTGCTGGGGGGGGGGCGGTGACCGTGGGGGGCCCCCAGGCGCTGCCCACTCAGCTGCAGCTTGCACAGGTAGACACCCAGACACTCACTCAGACACCCAGACACTCACTCAGACACTCAGACACTCACTCAGACACCCAGACACTCACTCAGACACTCACCCAGACACTCAGACACTCACTCAGACACTCACTCAGACACCCACTCAGACACCCAGACACTCACTCAGACACTCACCCAGACACTCAGACACTCACTCAGACACTCACTCAGACACTCACTCAGACACTTAGACACTCACTCAGACACTCAGACACTCACTCAGACACTCACTCAGACACCCAGACACTCACTCAGACACTCACTCAGACACTCACTCAGACACTCACCCAGACACTCAGACACTCACTCAGACACTCACCCAGACACTCAGACACTCACTCAGACACTCACTCACTCAGACACTCACTCAGACACTCACTCACTCAGACACTCACTCAGACACTTAGACACTCACTCAGACACTCACTCAGACACTCACTCAGACACCCAGACACTCACTCAGACACTCACTCAGACACCCACTCAGACACTCACTCACTCAAACACTCACCCAGACACTCACTCAGACACTCACTCAGACACTTAGACACTCACTCAGACACTCACTCAGACACTCACTCAGACACCCAGACACTCACTCAGACACTCACTCAGACACCCACTCAGACACTCACTCACTCAAACACTCACCCAGACACTCACTCAGACACTCACTCAGACACTCACTCAGACACTCACTCAGACACCCAGACACTCACTCAGACACTCACTCAGACACTTAGACACTCACTCAGACACTCACTCAGACACCCACTCAGACACCCATACACTCACTCAGTCACTCACTCACTCAGTTACTCACCCAGTCACTCACTCAGTCACTCACTCACTCAGTCACCCAGTCACTCACTCACTCAGTCACTCACTCAGTCACTCACTCAGACACTCAGTCACTCACTCAGACACTCACTCACTCAGACACTCACTCAGACACTCACTCAGACACTCACTCAGACACTCAAACACTCACTCAGACACTCACTCAGACACTCACTCAGACACTCACCCAGACGCTCAGACACTCACTCAGACACTCACTCAGACACTCACTCAGACACTCACTCAGACACCCATACACTCACTCACTCAGACACCCATACACTCACTCACTCAGTCACTCACTCAGACACTCAGTCACTCACTCAGACACTCACTCAGACACTCACTCACTCAGACACTCACTCACTCACTCAGACACTCACTCACACACTCAGACACTCACTCAGACACTCACTCACTCCTAGACACTCTCTCCCCGTGTCTCTCCCCGTGTCTCTCCCCGTGTCTCTCCCCCCGTGTCTCTCTCTGTGTCTCTCCCCGTGTCTCTCCCCGTGTCTCTCCCCCCGTGTCTCTCCCCGTGTCTCTCCCCGTGTCTCTCCCCCCGTGTCTCTCCCCGTGTCTCTCCCCCGTGTCTCTCCCCGTGTCTTCCCGTGTCTCTCCCCGTGTCTCTCTCCCCGTGTCTCCCCCCGTGTCTCTCCCCGTGTCTCTCCCCGTGTCTCTCCCCGTGTCTCTCTCTGTGTCTCCGTGTCTCTCCCCGTGTCTCCCCGTGTCTCTCCCCGTGTCTCTCCCCGTGTCTCTCCCCGTGTCTCTCCCCGTGTCTCCATCGTGTCTCTCCCCGTGTCTCCCCCCGTGTCCCTCCCCGTGTCTCTCTCCGTGTCTCTCCCCGTGTCTCTCTCCGTGTCTCCCCCATGTCTCCGTGTCTCTCCCCGTGTCTCCGTGTCTCCATCATGTCTCCATCGTGTGTCTCTCTCTCCGTGTCTCTCTCCGTGTCTCTCCCCGTGTCTCCCCCCGTGTCTCTCCCGTGTCTCCCCCATGTCTCCGTGTCTCTCCCCGTGTCTCCGTGTCTCCATCATGTCTCCATCGTGTATCTCTCTCCCCGTGTCTCCGTGTCTCCGTGTCTCTCCCCCGTGTCTCTCTCCGTGTCTCTCTCCGTGTCTCTCTCCGTGTCTCTCTCCGTGTCTCCCCCCGTGTCTCTCTCCGTGTCTCTCCCCTTGTCTCTCTCCGTGTCTCTCTCCCTGTCTCCCCCGTGTCTCTACCCGTGTCTCCATCATGTCTCCATCGTGTGTCTCTCTCCGTGTCTCTCTCCGTGTCTCCCCCCGTGTCTCTCTCCGTGTCTCTCCCCTTGTCTCTCTCCGTGTCTCTCTCCCTGTCTCCCCCGTGTCTCTACCCGTGTCTCTACCCGTGTCTCCATCATGTCTCCATCGTGTGTCTCTCTCCGTGTCTCTCTCCGTGTCTCTCCCCGTGTCTCCCCCCGTGTCTCCGTGTCTCTCCCCGTGTCTCCCCCCGTGTCTCCCCCCTTGTCTCTCTCCGTGTCTCTCCCCGTGTCTCTCTCCGTGTCTCTCTCCGTGTCTCTCTCCGTGTCTCTCTCCGTGTCTCCAGGTGTCCAAGTTGTCTCAGCAGGCTGCAATGCTCCAGCTGGTGTCTGCATCGACTCAGCACGTAAGTCCGCACACAGACACAGACAAAGCTCCCCCAGGTAGCCTCTAGCAGGACTGTAGGGGCAAGTGCTGTGAGCTAGCGAGTAGCAGCAGCAGTGTCTATGTACTACACACACCACACACAGACAAAGCTACCCCAGGTAGCCTCTAGCAGGGCTGCAGGGGCAAGTGCTGCTAGCTAGCGAGTAGCAGCAGCAGTGTCTATGTACTACACACACCACACACAGACAAAGCTCCCCCAGGTAGCCTCTAGCAGGGCTGTGGGGGCAAGTGCTGTTAGCTAGCGAGTAGCACCACCTATCATGTACACAGACACAAACAAAGCTCCCCCAGGTAGCCTCTAGCGGGGCTGCGGGGGCAAGTGCTGTTAGCTAGCAAGTAGCAGCAGCAGTATCTATGTACTACACACACCACACACAGACAAAGCTCCCCCAGGTAGCCTCTAACAGGGCTGCAGGGGCAAGTGCTGTTAGCTAGCGAGTAGCAGCAGCAGTGTCTATGTACTACACACACCACACACAGACAAAGCTCCCCCAGGTAGCCTCTACCGGGGCTGTGGGGGCAAGTGCTGTTAGCTAGCGAGTAGCAGCAGCAGTGTGTATGTACTACACACACCACACACAGACAAAGCTCCCCCAGGTAGCCTCTAGTAGGCTGTAGGGGCAAGTGCTGCTAGCTAGCGAGTAGCAGCAGCAGTATCTATGTACTACACACACCACACACAGACAAAGCTCCCCCAGGTAGCCTCTAACAGGGCTGTAGGGGCAAGTGCTGTTAGCTAGCGAGTAGCAGCAGCAGTGTCTATGTACTACACACACCACACACAGACAAAGCTCCCCCAGGTAGCCTCTAGCAGGGCTGCAGGGGCAAGTGCTGTTAGCTAGCGAGTAGCAGCAGCAGTGTCTATGTACTACACACACCACACACAGACAAAGCTACCCCAGGTAGCCTCTAGCAGGGCTGTAGGGGCAAGTGCTGTTAGCTAGCGAGTAGCACCACCTATCATGTACACAGACACAGACAAAGCTGCCCCAGGTAGCCTCTAGCAGGGCTGTGGGGGCAAGTGCTGTTAGCTAGCGAGTAGCACCACCTATCATGTACACAGACACAAACAAAGCTCCCCCAGGTAGCCTCTAGCAGGGCTGTGGGGGCAAGTGCTGTTAGCTAGCGAGTAGCACCACCTATCATGTACACAGACACAAACAAAGCTCCCCCAGGTAGCCTCTAGCAGGGCTGTAGGGGCAAGTGCTGTTAGCTAGCGAGTAGCAGCAGCAGTGTCTATGTACTACACACACCACACACAGACAAAGCTCCCCCAGGTAGCCTCTAACAGGGCTGTAGGGGCAAGTGCTGTTAACTAGCGAGTAGCAGCAGCAGTGTCTATGTACTACACACACCACACACAGACAAAGCTCCCCCAGGTAGCCTCTAGCGGGGCTGCGGGGGCAAGTGCTGTTAGCTAGCGAATAGCAGCAGCAGTGTCTATGTACTACACACACCACACACAGACAAAGCTCCCCCAGGTAGCCTCTAACAGGGCTGTAGGGGCAAGTGCTGTTAGCTAGCGAGTAGCAGCAGCAGTGTCTATGTACTACACACACCACACACAGACAAAGCTCCCCCAGGTAGCCTCTAGCGGGGCTGTAGGGGCAAGTGCTGTTAGCTAGCGAGTAGCACCACCTATGATGTACACAGACAAAGCTGCCCCAGGTAGCATCTAGCATGCTGTAGGGACAAGTGCTGTTAGCTAGCGAGTAGCACCACCTATGATGTACACAGACACAGACAAAGCTGCCCCGTGTCTCCCTCTCCTCCTCCTCCTCAGGGACAGACCCACACCATCGCTCTCTCCCAGGGCTCCCAGCCTCTGATCGTCTCGCACAGCCGCTCCATACAGCAGCTCAACCAGCAGATCCTGCACGTTCAGCAGCAGCAGCAGCTACAACAGCAGCAGCTGCAGCAGCAGCAGCAGCTACAACAGCAGCAGCAGCAACAGCAGCTGATAGCCAGCCTGACTCCTCCGCAACAAATCCATACACCTCCATTACAGCTGCAGCTGCAGCAGCAGCAGCAGCAGGCTGACTCAGAAGCTCGGGCTCAAGGGGTGACAGCTACAGCAGCTACAGCAGCTGCAGCTACACCTGCAGCTACAGCAGCTACACCTGCAGCAACAGCAGCAGCGGCGGCAGCAGCAGCAGCAGCACGCGTTCGTAACAACAGCAAGTCGTGACGATGATCACTCACTCGGATCCTGCATGTGCAGCTACAGCAGCTACAGCAGCTACACCTGCTACAGCAGCTACAGCTGCAGCTGCTACAACAGCTACAGCAGCTACAGCAGCTGCTACAGCAGCTACAGCTACAGCAGCTGTAACAGCTACAGCAACTACAGCAGCTACAGCTGCTACAGCTGCTACAGCAGCAGCTACAGCTGCTACAGCAGCTGCTACAGCAGCTACAGCTGCTACAGCAGCTACAGCTGCTACAGCAGCTACAGCAGCAGCTACAGCTCCTACAGCAGCTACAGCAGCAGCTACAGCAGCTACAGCTGCTACAGCAGCTACAGCAGCAGCTACACCTACAGCTACAGCAGCTACAGCAGCTGCAGCTACAGCAGCTACAGCTGCTACAGCTACAGCAGCTACAGCTGTTACAGCAGCTACATCGGCGTGAGAACACACACATTCCTGCCGGAGGGAGCCGGTGGGGAACGTTGGGTTGAGTTTTATAAGGGCACCACGGGGTGACCAGCCCCTCCCCAACCAGGCCCACCCCTAGCTGCTACAGCAGCTACAGCAGCTGCTGCTATAGCTGCTACAGCAGCTACAGCTGCTACAGCTACAGCAGCTACAGCTGCTACAGCTACAGCTGCTACAGCTGCTACAGCAGCTACAGCTGCTACAGCAGCTATAGCAGCTACAGCTGCTACAGCTGCTACAGCTTGTAGCAGCTGTAGCAGCTACAGCTGCTACAAGCTGTAGCTGCTGTAGCAGCTACAGCTGCTACAACAGCTACAGCTGCTACAGCAGCAGCTGCTACAGCTGCTACAGCTACAGCTGCTACAGCAGCTACAGCTGCTACAGCTGCTACAGCAGCTACAGCTGCTACAGCTACAGCTGCTACAGCAGCTACAGCTACAGCAGCTACAGCTGCTACAGCTACAGCTGCTACAGCTGCTACAGCTGCTACAGCTGCCACGCAGTCGTACTGACAGTGTCGTGAGGACCCGCTTCAGTTAGGCCCGTGGACCGAAACGTCGGGCCCACGTCCCGTAACCTCGGTGGCTACCCTCGCCCACGCTGGGGCAACGCAGGCAGAGTGCCACTCTGATGACCCCTCACCCCTGCCCCTCCCCCCTGCCCCCCCGGCCCCTCCCCCCTGCCCCCTCTCCCTCCCCCCTGCCCCCCCTGCCCCTCCCCCCCGTATCCCCTTAATTACCGTCCAAGGCACCGCTGTGAACAGTGGGGACCCTCCAGACCCCCTCCCACCCTACCCAGGGACCGCGGACATTTTACACCCCCACCCCCCACCCCCGCACAGCCAACCCTTGCTGGGTACACTTTGACTTTAGACCCCTGACTGCGCTTTGTAAACTTGCAGTAGTGATAGTAGTAGTGGTGGTAGTGATAGTGGTAGTAGTAGTGGTGGTAGTAGTGATAGTGATACTAGTAGTGATAGTGGTAGTAGTAGTAGTGATAGTGGTAGTAGTGATAGTGATACTAGTAGTGATAGTGGTAGTAGTAGTGGTAGTGGTGGTAGTAGTGGTAGTGGTAGTAGTGGTGGTAGTAGTGATAGTGGTAGTAGTAGTGGTAGTAGTAGTAGTGATAGTAGTAGTGATAGTAGTAGTAGTGGTAGTGATACTAGTGGTAGTGGTGGTAGTGGTAGTAGTAGTGGTAGTAGTAGTGATAGTAGTAGTGGTAGTAGTAGTGATAGTAGTAGTGGTGGTAGTAGTAGTGGTAGTAGTGGTGGTAGTAGTGGTAGTAGTGATAGTAGTAGTGGTGGTAGTAGTAGTGGTAGTGGTGGTAGTAGTGGTGGTAGTGGTGGTAGTAGTGGTAGTAGTAGTGGTAGTGATAGTGGTAGTAGTAGTGGTAGTAGTGATAGTGGTAGTAGTAGTGATAGTGGTAGTAGTAGTGGTAGTAGTAGTGATAGTGATAGTGGTAGTAGTAGTGGTAGTAGTAGTAGTGGTAGTGATAGTGGTAGTAGTAGTGGTAGTGGTGGTAGTGGTAGTAGTAGTGCTGGTAGTAGTGGTAGTAGTAGTAGTGATAGTGGTAGTAGTGGTGGTAGTAGTGGTGGTAGTAGTGGTGGTAGTAGTAGTGATGGTGGTAGTAGTAGTGGTAGTAGTAGTGGTGGTAGTGGTAGTAGTGGTAGTAGTAGTGATGGTGGTAGTAGTAGTGGTAGTAGTAGTGATAGTAGTGATAGTGGTAGTAGTGATAGTAGTGGTAGTAGTAGTGGTAGTAGTAGTGGTAGTAGTAGTGGTGGTGATAGTGGTGGTAGTAGTAGTGGTAGTAGTAGTGGTAGTAGTGGTAGTAGTAGTAGTGATAGTAGTAGTGGTGGTAGTAGTAGTGGTAGTAGTGATAGTGATACTAGTAGTGATAGTGGTAGTAGTAGTGGTGGTAGTAGTAGTGATAGTAGTGGTAGTAGTAGTGGTAGTGATAGTGGTAGTAGTAGTAGTGATAGTAGTAGTGGTGGTGGTAGTAGTGGTAGTAGTGATAGTGATACTAGTAGTGATAGTAGTAGTGGTGGTAGTAGTAGTGGTAGTAGTGATAGTGATACTAGTAGTGATAGTGGTAGTAGTAGTGGTGGTAGTAGTAGTGATAGTAGTGGTAGTAGTGATAGTGGTAGTAGTGGTAGTAGTGATAGTGGTAGTAGTGGTAGTAGTAGTGATAGTGGTAGTAGTAGTGGTGGTAGTGGTAGTAGTAGTGATAGTAGTAGTGGTAGTAGTGATAGTGGTAGTAGTGGTAGTAGTAGTGGTAGTAGTGATAGTGGTAGTAGTAGTGGTGGTAGTAGTAGTGATAGTAGTAGTGGTAGTAGTGATAGTGATACTAGTAGTGATAGTGGTAGTAGTAGTAGTGGTAGTAGTAGTGGTGGTAGTAGTGGTAGTGATAGTGGTGGTGGTAGTAGTGGTGGTAGTAGTGGTAGTAGTAGTAGTGGTGGTAGTAGTAGTGATAGTAGTGGTGGTAGTAGTAGTGATAGTAGTGGTGGTAGTGCTAGTAGTTGTAGTGGTAGTAGTAGTGGTAGCAGTGGTAGTAGTAGTGATAGTGGTAGTAGTGGTGGTAGTAGTGGTAGTAGTGGTGGTAGTAGTAGTGGTGGTAGTAGTGGTAGTAGTAGTGGTGGTAGTAGTAGTGGTAGTAGTAGTGGTAGTAGTGGTAGTAGTAGTAGTAGTGTTAGTAGTAGTGGTGGTAGTAGTGGTAGTAGTAGTGATAGTGGTAGTAGTGGTGGTAGTAGTAGTAGTGGTAGTAGTGGTGGTGGTAGTAGTGGTGGTAGTAGTGGTGGTAGTAGTAGTGGTAGTAGTGGTGGTAGTAGTAGTGATAGTAGTGGTGGTAGTGCTAGTAGTTGTAGTGGTAGTAGTAGTGGTAGCAGTGGTAGTAGTAGTGATAGTGGTAGTAGTGGTGGTAGTAGTGGTAGTAGTGGTGGTAGTAGTAGTGGTGGTAGTAGTGGTAGTAGTAGTGGTGGTAGTAGTAGTGGTAGTAGTAGTGGTAGTAGTGGTAGTAGTAGTAGTAGTGTTAGTAGTAGTGGTGGTAGTAGTGGTAGTAGTAGTGATAGTGGTAGTAGTGGTGGTAGTAGTAGTAGTGGTAGTAGTGGTGGTGGTAGTAGTGGTGGTAGTAGTGGTGGTAGTAGTAGTGGTAGTAGTAGTAGTGATAGTGGTGGTAGTAGTAGTGGTAGTAGTAGTGGTGATAGTAGTGGTAGTGGTGGTAGTGATAGTAGTAGTAGTGGTGATAGTAGTGGTGGTAGTGGTAGTAGTAGTAGTTATAGTAGTAGTGGTGGTAGTGGTGGTGATGGTTGTGGTGATGGTGGTAGTTGTGGTGATGGTGGTTGTGGTGATGGTGGTTGTGGTGATGGTAGTTGTGGTGGCTGTGGTGTTGGTGATTGCTGTCGTGGTTATATTCTAAACGCCCCTTCCCCTGTGTCGTCTGTGTGGTTGTTGTTGTGGTTGTTGTGGTTGTTGTTGATGTTGTGGTTGTTGTGGTTGTTGTGGTTGATGTTGCTGCCCCGTCGACGTGCCCCCCCCCCCCCCCCCTCATCGCAGTCTTGAAGGCACTGGGGGCGCCTGAATGCCCCCGGGGCACCTGAATGCCCTCAGGGCGCCTGAATGCCCCCGGGGCACTGGGGGCACCTGAATGCCCTCGGGGCGCCTGAATGCCCCCGGGGCACTGGGGACGCCTGAATGCCCCCGGGGCACCTTCACGCTGTTGAGGCGGCCGCGTTGTTAAGTCGGTAGCATAAATAAATAAATAAAGGCGCCCTCGGTTCACTCGGCAGTGGAACGACTTCTTGGTGGTGGTGGTGGTGATAGTGATGGTGGTGACAGTGGTGGTGGTGATAGTGATGGTGGTGACAGTGGTGGTGGTGATAGTGATGGTGGTGACAGTGGTGGTGGTGATAGTGATGGTGGTGACAGTGGTGGAGGTGGTGGTGATGATGGTGGTGGTGGTGGTGGAGGTGGTGGTGGTGATGATGATGATGATGGTGGTGGTGATGATGATGATGGTGGTGGTGATGATGATGGTGGTGGTGATGATGATGATGGTGGTGGTGATGATGGTGGTGGTGATAGTGATGGTGGTGATGATGGTGACAGAGATGATGATGATGGTGGTGGTGGTGGTAATGATGGTGGTAGTGATAGTGATGGTGGTAGTGATAGTGATGGTGGTAGTGATAGTGATGGTGGTAGTGATAGTGATGGTGGTGGAGGTGATGATGTTGATGGTGATGATGGAGGTGTGGTGATGATGGTGGTGATGATGCAGGTGGTGGTGATGGTGGTGATGATGATGGAGGTGGTTATGGTGGTGATGATAGTGATGGTGGTGTTGGTGGTGGTTATGATCTTGACACCGCTGGTACCAGTCATCGGCAAGTCTACTCAGCTCCACCTGTACCACATCACTCCATCTCTTCTGTAGCCCGTGTCACCCACTCAACCACTCACCCACTCACTCAACCACCCACTTATCCACTCAACCACTTAACCACCCACTCATCCACTCAACCACCCACTCATCCCCCCACTCACCCACTTATCCACTCACCCACTCATCCACCCACTCATCCACTCACTCATCCACCCACTCAACCACCCACTTACCCACTCACCCACCCACTTATCCACCCACTCACTCAACCACCCACTTTCCCACCCATTCACCCACTTACCCACTCAACCACCCACTCACCCACCCACTCACCCACTCACTCAACCACTCAACCACCCACTTACCCACTCAATCACTCAACCACCGACTCACCCACCCACTCACCCACCCACTCATCCACTCATTCATCCACCCACTCAACCACCCACTTACCCATCCACCCATTTATCCACCCACTCACCCACCCACTCATCCACTCACTCAACCACCCACTTACCCACCCACTCAATCACCCATCCACCCACTTATCCACCCACTCACCCACCCACTCATCCACTCACTCACTCAACCACCCACTTATCCACCCACTGACCCACTTACCCACTCACCCACCCACTTATCCACTCAATCACTCAACCACCCACTTACCCACTCACCCACCCACTTATCCATCCACTCACCCACCCACTCACCCACCCACTCATCCACTCAACCACCCACTTACCCACCCACTTACCCACTCGCCCATCCACTCATTCACCCCCCCCCCCCACTCACCCCCCACTCATCCACCCACCCACTCAGCCACCCCCTCACCCACCCACTCACCCCCTCACCCACCCACTTATCCACTCAATCACTCAACCACCCACTTACCCACTCACCCACCCACTTCCCACTTACCCACCCACTCACCCACTCAATCACTCAACCACCCACTTACCCACTCACCCACCCACTTATCCACTCAATCACTCAACCACCCACTTACCCACTCACCCACCCACTTATCCACTCAATCACTCAACCACCCACTTACCCACTCACCCACCCACTTATCCATCCACTCACCCACCCACTCACCCACCCACTCATCCACTCAACCACCCACTTACCCACCCACTTACCCACTCGCCCATCCACTCATTCACCCCCCCCCCCACTCACCCCCCACTCATCCACCCACCCACTCAGCCACCCCCTCACCCACCCACTCACCCCCTCACCCACCCACTTATCCACTCAATCACTCAACCACCCACTTACCCACTCACCCACCCACTTCCCACTTACCCACCCACTCAATCACTCAACCACCCACTTACCCACCCACTTCCCACTTACCCACTCAACCACCCACTTATCCACTCAATCACTCAACCACCCACTTACCCACTCACCCACCCACCCACTCATCCACTCACTCATCCACTCACCCACCCACCCACTCATCCACTCACTCAACCACCCACTTACTCACCCACTCGCCCACCCACTCATTCACCCCACCCACTCACCCCCCACTCATCCACCCACCCACTCACCCACCCACTCACCCACCCCCTCACCCACCCCCTCACCCACTCACTCACCCACCCACTTAGGCAGATCGTCTGCGTGCCAGGAGTCAGAGTGACTCTGTGTGATTGTCTCCAAGCAAACAGACAGGATGGTCCAAATGTCAGGACACATCGGGGTTGTTGTTGTTATACAGCCCATTGGCATACAGGGTATGTGTAGGTGTGTGTCGTTGACGCCGCTGGAGAGACAAAGGCGGCCGGGCGTGGCGGTGCTGGGCACCCACCCCATCTGTGTGTGCCACAGTGCCGGTAGCCTTCATAGGTGCTCGCTAACAGCACTTGCCCCCTACAGCCCAACTAGAGGCTACCTGGGGGAGCTTTGTGTGTGGTGTGTAGTACATAGACACTGCTGCTGCTACTCGCTAGCTAACAGCACTTGCCCCTACAGCCCTGCTAGAGGCTACCTGGGGGAGCTTTGTGTGTGGTGTGTGTAGTACATAGACACTGCTGCTGCTATTCGCTAGCTAACAGCACTTGCCCCTACAGCCTGCTAGAGGCTACCTGGGAGAGCTTTGTCTGTGTGTGGTGTGTGTAGTACATAGACACTGCTGCTACTAGCTAGCTAAAAGCACTTGCCCCTACAGCCTGCTAGAGGCTACCTGGGGGAGCTTTGTCTGTGTGTGGTGTGTGTAGTACATAGACACTGCTGCTGCTACTCGCTAGCTAACAGCACTTGCCCCTACAGCCCTGCTAGAGGCTACCTGGGGGAGCTTTGTCTGTGTGTGGTGTGTGTAGTACATAGACACTGCTGCTGCTACTCGCTAGCTAACAGCACTTGCCCCTACAGTCCTGCTAGAGGCTACCTGGGGGAGCTTTGTCTGTGTGTGGTGTGTGTAGTACATAGACACTGCTGCTACTCGCTAGCTAACAGCACTTGCCCCTACAGCCCTGCTAGAGGCTACCTGGGGGAGCTTTGTGTGTGGTGTGTGTAGTACATAGACACTGCTGCTGCTATTCGCTAGCTAACAGCACTTGCCCCTACAGCCTGCTAGAGGCTACCTGGGAGAGCTTTGTCTGTGTGTGGTGTGTGTAGTACATAGACACTGCTGCTATTCGCTAGCTAACAGCACTTGCCCCTACAGCCCTGCTAGAGGATACCTGGGGGAGCTTTGTCTGTGTGTGGTGTGTGTAGTACATAGACACTGCTGCTGCTACTCGCTAGCTAACAGCACTTGCCCCTACAGTCCTGCTAGAGGCTACCTGGGGGAGCTTTGTCTGTGTGTGGTGTGTGTAGTACATAGACACTGCTGCTATTCGCTAGCTAACAGCACTTGCCCCTACAGTCCTGCTAGAGGCTACCTGGGTGCGCTTTGTCTCTATCTGTGTGCTGAGCCCGGACGCAACTGTAGCCACGCCTACCCTCAGTTCACTTCCGGCCGGGGTGGGAGGGGGGCGGAGCCTGGTGGGATAGGGGGCGGGGCCTGGTGTGATTGGGGGTTGGTCGGGTAGGGGACGTGGGTGACTGGTGAGGGGGGCGGGGCTTGGTGTGGTAGGGGGCGGGGCTTGGTGTAGTAGGGGGCGGGGCTGATGATCATCACCACAATCACTTCCATCCCCATCACCACCACTACCATCACCGACACCATCATAGTCGGGTAGGATGTCTGTGTTTGTGTGTCTGTCTGTGTGTGTGTCTGTGTGTGTGTCTGAGTGTGTGTGTGTCTGTGTGTGTGCCTGTGTGTGTCTGTGTGTGTGCCTGTGTGTGCCTGTGTGTGTGTGCCTGTGTGTGTGTGTCTGTGTGTGTGCCTGTGTGTGTGTCTGTGTGTGTGCCTGTGTGTGTGTGTGCCTGTGTGTGTGGGGAGCGATAGTGTAGCGGTTAGCGCTACGCTGCGCTATGAACCTGGCGACCCGGGTTCGATTCCCGCTCACGGCCAACACCGGTGACGATTATCTGAACCGGTCCCGGGCCTCCCCTAGGTCGACTCAGCCTGAAATGAGTACCTGGTGCGGTGTGTAAATATTGCCACTAGGGAGACAAAGGCGGTCGGGCGTGGTGCTGGCCACCCACCCCCTCGTGTACCGTTCCGGCCTTCATAGGTGCTCGCTAACAGCACTTGCCCCTACAGTCTGTTAAGGCTATATGGGGGATCTTTGTCTTTTGTGTGTGTGTGCCTGTGTGTGTGTGCCTGTGTGTGTGTGCGCCTGTGTGTGTGTGCGCCTGCGTGTGCGTGTGTGTCTCTGTGTGTGTTCGTGTGAGAGAAGGAGAGTTGGAGACGCTGCTGCTGAGACTGGAGCGTGCCACTAAGAGGTGGGGCCTTACCACCAAAACTAAGCACCTGCCTGGGTATTTTGTACCATCGGACACTCCACCCCCACAACTCCCAATCGGTGATGGGGCAGTTGTGGAGAGAGTGGAGAGTTTCCCATACCTGGGCAGTGTGCTTATGACTGGCTCCAGTTTAACAGCAGAGGTCTCACTCCGAATCAGTCGAGCGGCAATATCTTTTCATCGGTTGCGTAACGCTGTGTGGAAGCTACCTGGTCTGTCGCTCCGCACTAAGCTTCAGGTCTTCTCGGCCACGGTCATTCCCTCCCCGTCTCTACGCTTGCGAAACGTGGACCCCCCTAATGGAACATCTTCGCCGGTTAGAAACATTTAGGCTGGCCTGCCTACGATCCATCCTGGGTTTAACCAGACTGGATTGTGTGAGGACCTCACAAATCCTTGAAAGATCTGGGCAGGGTCCCATCGGTGAGCTCCTCCGGCAGGCAAGGCTGTGATGGCTGGGTCATGTAGCCCGCATGCCCAGCCACCGCATGCCGAAACAGCTTTTGTTCGGCCGGATTGAGGGGGCTAAGCGGGCGCGGCACGGGCTAGAGAAGAGATGGAGTGATGTGGTACAGGAGGACGTGGAGCTGAGTGGACTTGCCGATGACTGGTACCAGCGGTGTCAAGATCGGCCTCTGTGGAGGAGGCTCGTGAAGGACGCTACTGGGGAGTTGGAGGCAGTCGCCCTCCAACAACAACGGAGGGCGGAGGAGCGACGCTCACAACAACGAGCGGAGCGCCGGGTGGCTAAAGCACAGCAGGTTGGCACAGTAGGGGGCACAGGTGGTGCATCAGCCAGTCATCTCAGTCAGTCGACCCGTGGCACCTGCTGGGTCTGCCCCGTGACCTCCTGCCAGCGGGCGTTCGACACTTCACGTGGCCTCAGGGTGCACATAGCCTGGCACAAGCGTCGTGGTGACGTCATCGCCACTTAGTGGCGAATGGTGGTTGTTGTTGTGTGTGAGTGTATGTGTGTGAGTGTATGAGTGTGAGTGTGTGAGTGAGTGTGTGTGTCTGTGTGTGTGTATGTCTGTGTGTGTCTGTGTATGTCTGTGTGTGTCTGTGTATGTCTGTGTGTGTGTGTCTGTGTGTGTGTCTGTGTGTGTATGTGTGTGTGTCTGTGTGTGTCTGTGTCTGTCTGTCTGTGTGTGTATGTGTCTGTGTGTGTGTGCCTGTGTGTGTCTGTCTGTGTGTATGTCTGTCTGTGTGTCTGTGTGTGTGTCTGTGTGTGTCTGTCTGTGTGTGTCTATGTGTGTGTGTGTGTGTGTCTGTGTGTGTATGTGTCTGTGTGTGTGTCTATGTGTATGTCCGGCAAAACAACCCCCTACCTCCTCGCGGTGCCGGACGGGCAGCTCTGTCGTGGACAGTGCTGTGGGGGGACATCCAATTCCGATTGGCTCCTCCCCTCATGGCGTCTGTGTCCACCACAGGGGCTAAACGGGGCTCTGGACGGGTGCGAGGGGCTGGTAACCCCTCCACCTTCAAATAATTACCACTAAACCACGTGAAAAAAATGTAATTAATAAGCTTGTGCCGGAGGCCCCGGGGGGACAGGCGTCTATGACGTCTCCTGGCCAAACCCCAATTGGCAGAGCCAGGAGATTGAATCTCTACCCTCGGGGCTCCTCCAGAAACAACGAAAAGCCGCTTCGTGTGGCCACGTGGAATGTTCGAACGCTCACTGCAGAGGAGAGGCTGCTGCTCCTCTGTCGGGAGCTGGACCGGTACCGCCTGGATCTCTGTGGCATTCAGGAGGTCCGGTGGACCGGCTCTGGCTCCTGCCACCATGAGGGGTGGACAGTCCTCTACTCGGGGCAGGAGACTGCCAAACAACAGGGTGTGGCTCTTCTTCTGAACAAAAGAATGAAAGGGGCGTGGGAAGCTGTAAGCCCCAGGCTACTTTGGGCTCGCCTTCCCATCAACCAGAGGCGAGGAGTGGTGGTCGTGGTTACTTATGCCCCCACCGAAGATGAACATCCGTGGAGGGATGCAGGCAAAGCCGATGAGTCAGATGCCTTCTATCACCTCCTGTCACAGGTGCTGGCTAAAGTGGCCCCTCAGGATAGAGTCCTCATGTTGGGTGACTTCAATGCCCGAGTTGGTCATGATGCTGGCACCTGGTCTGGAGTGATTGGAGGGCATGGGCCAGATCAGCCCAATAACAACGGTAGGAGGCCGCTAGACTTTTGTGCAGCCCATGGGCTTGTAATTACCAACACGCTGTTCCGGCATCAGCGCATCCACACAACATCATGGATGCATGCCGGGTCCAAGCAAGAACATTTGCTGGACTACATAGTGACGGACCAGCGGATGCGGGCCCATGTCCTTGACTCCAGGACCTACCGTGGAGCTGATCTGCCCTCTGACCATCGACTAGTCATCTGTAAGATGCGCCTGCCATTCTTCCACTCCGGTGGTGGGTGTACACCCAGGACCACATTCAAACCCACAGTGGCCTGGTCTCAGCTAGCTGATGAAAGTTGCAAGCGAGAATTTCATCATTGCATTCTGGACCCTGACGATGCCTGTTGCTGCTTTCTATGTGGAGTCTACATCTCTCTCTCATCATCATCATCACGGTGGCTATCAGATGTTAACTACCTCACCTGGTATACAGGAGGTCGTGGGTTTAATACCAACCCTGACGATGCCTGCTGCTGTTGCCTATGTGGAGTCTGCGTCTGTCTCTCTGTCTGTCTCTCTGTCTGTCTCTGTTTGTCTCTGTCTCTCTGTCTCTCTCTCTGTCTCTCTGTCTCTTAGAGTGGGTATCTATTAGTCTATGGGTCTCTGTGGATCTGTGTGGTTCTTTATGGGTCTCTGTGAGTCTCTGATTATGGGTTTCTATGGGTCTCTGTGAGTCTCTGAGTATGGGTTTCTATGGGTCTCTGTGAGTCTCTGTGGGTCTCTATGCTTCTATATGGGTCTCTGTGAGGCTCTTGGAGTGGGTATCTGTGGGTCTGTGTGGTTCTTTATGCGTCTATGGGTCTCTGTGAGTCTCTGAGTATGGGTCTCTATGGGTCTCTGTGAGTCTCTGAGAATGGGTCTCTATGGGTCTCTGTGGGTCTCTGGTTGTATTTATGAGTCTATGGGTCTATGTGAGTCTCTGTGGGTCTCTTTATTGCTCTATGGGTCTCTAGATTTCTGTGGGCCTCTATGAGAATGGGTCTCTATGAGTCTCTGTGGGTCTCTATGAGTATGGGTCTCTATGGGTCTCTGTGGGTCTCTGTGGGTCTCCGTGTGTCTCTGTGCGTTCAGATGATTTGTCTGCTGCTATAAATCCCCAACGTGGTAATGACATGGGCGGCTCGGGGTTAGCGTCGGGGTAGGAGCGTTCGGTCTCACGAAGGAGTCGTGGGGAGACCATCACCACCATCACCTCTACCACCACCACCATCATCACCATCACCTCTACTACCACCATCACCTCTACCACCACCATCACCTCTACCACCACCATCACCTCTACCACCACCACCACCATCACCTCTACCACCACCACCACCACCATCACCTCTACCACCACCACCACCATCACAACCATCACCTCTACCACCACCACCTCTACCACCACCACCACCATCATCACCACTATCACCATCACAACCATCACCATCATCACCACCATCACAACCACCACCTCTACCACCACCACCACCATCACCACCACGTGACGCGATGCGGGCGGAGATGGTGGACTCAGGGTGGAGATGGTGGACTCAGGGTGGACATGGTGGACTCAGGGTGGAGATGGTGGACTCAGGGTGGAGATGGTGGACTCAGGGTGGAGATGGTGGACTCAGGGTGGACATGGTGGACTCAGGGTGGAGATGGTGGACTCGGGGTGGAGATGGTGGACTCAGGGTGGAGATGGTGGACTCAGGGTGGAGATGGTGGACTCGGGGTGGAGATGGTGGACTCGGGGTGGAGATGGTGGACTCAGGGTGGAGATGGTGGACTCAGGGTGGAGATGGTGGACTCAGGGTGGAGATGGTGGACTCAGGGTGGAGATGGTGGACTCAGGGTGGATATGGTGGACACAGGGTGGAGGTGGTGGACTCAGGGTGGAGATGGTGGACTCGGGGTGGAGATGGTGGACTCGGGGTGGAGATGGTGGACTCGGGGTGGAGATGGTGGACACAGGGTGGAGGTGGTGGACTCAGGGTGGAGATGGTGGACTCAGGGTGGAGATGGTGGACTCAGGGCGGAGATGGTGGACTCAGGGTGGAGATGGTAGACTCAGGGCGGAGATGGTGGACGTAGGGTGGAGATGGTGGACTCGGGGTGGAGATGGTGGACGTAGGGTGGAGTTGGTGGACTCGGGGTGGGGATGGTGGACTCGTGGTGGGGATGGTGGACTCGGGGTGGAGATGGTGGACGTAGGGTGGAGTTGGTGGACTCAGGGAGGAGATGGTGGACTCAGGGTGGAGATGGTGGACTCAGGGTGGAGTTGGTGGACTCAGGGAGGAGATGGTGGACTCAGGGTGGAGATGGTGGACTCAGGGTGGAGATGGTGGACTCAGGGTGGAGATGGTGGACTCAGGGTGGAGTTGGTGGACTCAGGGTGGAGATGGTGGACTCAGGGTGGAGATGGTGGACTCGGGGTGGAGATGGTGGACTCAGGGTGGAGTTGGTGGACTCAGGGTGGAGTTGGTGGACTCAGGGTGGAGATGGTGGACTCAGGGTGGAGATGGTGGACTCAGGGTGGAGATGGTGGACTCGGGGTGGAGATGGTGAACTCAGGGTGGAGATGGTGGACTCCGGGTGGAGATGGTGGACTCAGGGTGGAGATGGTGGACGTAGGGTGGAGATGGTGGACTCAGGGTGGAGATGGTGGACGTAGGGTGGAGATGGTGGACTCAGGGTGGAGATGGTGGACTCAAGGTGGAGATGGTGGACTCAGGGTGGATATGGTGGACTCAGGGTGGAGATGGTGGACTCAGGGCGGAGATGGTGGACTCAGGGTGGAGATGGTGGACTCAGGGTGGAGATGGTGGACTCAGGGTGGAGATGGACTCAGGGTGGAGATGGTGGACTCAAGGTGGAGATGGTGGACTCAGGGTGGAGATGGTGGACTCAGGGTGGAGATGGTGGACTCGGGGTGGAGATGGTGGACTCGGTGTGGAGATGGTGGACTCGGTGTGGAGATGGTGGACTCAGGGTGGAGATGGTGGACTCGGGGTGGAGATGGTGGACTCAGGGCGGAGAAGGTGGACTCAGGGTGGAGATGGTGGACTCGGGGTGGAGATGGTGGACTCAGGGTGGAGATGGTGGACTCAGGGTGGAGATGGTGGACTCAGGGTGGAGATGGTGGACATAGGGCGGAGATGGTGGACTCAAGGTGGAGATGGTGGACTCAGGGTGGAGATGGTGGACTCAGGGTGGAGATGGTGGACTCAGGGTGGAGATGGTGGACACAGGGTGGAGGTGGTGGACTCAGGGTGGAGATGGTGGACTCGGGGTGGAGATGGTGGACTCGGGGTGGAGATGGTGGACTCGGGGTGGAGATGGTGGACACAGGGTGGAGGTGGTGGACTCAGGGTGGAGATGGTGGACTCAGGGCGGAGATGGTGGACTCAGGGTGGAGATGGTAGACTCAGGGCGGAGATGGTGGACGTAGGGTGGAGATGGTGGACTCGGGGTGGAGATGGTGGACGTAGGGTGGAGTTGGTGGACTCGGGGTGGGGATGGTGGACTCGTGGTGGGGATGGTGGACTCGGGGTGGAGATGGTGGACGTAGGGTGGAGTTGGTGGACTCAGGGAGGAGATGGTGGACTCAGGGTGGAGATGGTGGACTCAGGGTGGAGTTGGTGGACTCAGGGAGGAGATGGTGGACTCAGGGTGGAGATGGTGGACTCAGGGTGGAGATGGTGGACTCAGGGTGGAGATGGTGGACTCAGGGTGGAGTTGGTGGACTCAGGGTGGAGATGGTGGACTCAGGGTGGAGATGGTGGACTCGGGGTGGAGATGGTGGACTCAGGGTGGAGTTGGTGGACTCAGGGTGGAGTTGGTGGACTCAGGGTGGAGATGGTAGACTCAGGGAGGAGATGGTGGACTCAGGGTGGAGATGGTGGACTCAGGGTGGAGTTGGTGGACTCAGGGAGGAGATGGTGGACTCAGGGTGGAGATGGTGGACTCAGGGTGGAGATGGTGGACTCAGGGTGGAGTTGGTGGACTCAGGGTGGAGATGGTGGACTCAGGGTGGAGATGGTGGACTCGGGGTGGAGATGGTGGACTCAGGGTGGAGTTGGTGGACTCAGGGTGGAGTTGGTGGACTCAGGGTGGAGATGGTAGACTCAGGGAGGAGATGGTGGACTCAGGGTGGAGATGGTGGACTCAGGGTGGAGTTGGTGGACTCAGGGAGGAGATGGTGGACTCAGGGTGGAGATGGTGGACTCAGGGTGGAGTTGGTGGACTCAGGGAGGAGATGGTGGACTCAGGGTGGAGATGGTGGACTCAGGGTGGAGTTGGTGGACTCAGGGAGGAGATGGTGGACTCAGGGTGGAGATGGTGGACTCAGGGTGGAGATGGTGGACTCGGGGTGGAGATGGTGGACTCGGGGTGGAGATGGTGGACTCAGGGTGGAGTTGGTGGACTCAGGGTGGAGTTGGTGGACTCAGGGTGGAGATTTCGTCGTTTGAATAAGGCGGTCGGGGGGGGTGATAGCATCCGGTCGGCTTCTGACGTGCGGGTTTACGGAACTCGTGACCTTTCAGTGACCCTTCAGTGACCCTTCAGTGACCCTTCAGTGATCCTTCAGTGACCCTTCTGGTAACCCTTCTGCTGACCCTTCAGTGACCCTTCTGTGACCCTTCTGGTGACCCTTCAGTGACCCTTCAGTGACCCTTCAGTGATCCTTCAGTGATCCTTCAGTGACCCTTCAGTGACCCTTCTGGTGACCCTTCAGTGACCCTTCTGGTGACCCTTCAGTGACCCTTCTGGTGACCCTTCAGTGATCCTTCAGTGACCCTTCAGTGACCATTCTGGTGACCCTTCAGTGACCCTTCAGTGACCATTCTGGTGACCCTTCAGTGACCCTTCAGTGACCCTTCTGGTGACCCTTCAGTGACCCTTCATTGACCCTTCTGTGACCCTTCAGTGACCCTTCAGTGACCCTTCTGGTGACCCTTCAGTGAACCTTCAGTGACCCTTCAGTGACCCTTCTGGTAACCTTTCAGTGACCCTTCAGTGACCCTTCAGTGACCCTTCAGTGACCCTTCTGTGACCCTTCTGGTCACCCTTAAGTGACCCTTCTGTGACCCTTCTGGTGACCCTTCAGTGACCCTTCATTGACCCTTCTGTGACCCTTCAGTGACCCTTCAGTGACCCTTCTGGTGACCCTTCAGTGAACCTTCAGTGACCCTTCAGTGACCCTTCTGGTAACCTTTCAGTGACCCTTCAGTGACCCTTCAGTGACCCTTCAGTGACCCTTCTGTGACCCTTCTGGTCACCCTTAAGTGACCCTTCTGTGACCCTTCTGGTGACCCTTCAGTGACCCTTCAGTGACCCTTCAGTGACCATTCTGGTGAGCCTTCAGTGACCCTTCAGTGACCCTTCTGGTCACCCTTCAGTGACCCTTCAGTGACCCTTCAGTGACCCTTCAGTGACCCTCCTGGTAACCCTTCTGGTCACCCTTCAGTGACCCTTCAGTGACCCTTCAGTGACCCTTCAGTGACCCTTCAGTGACCCTTCAGTGACCCTTCCTCCCAGGGTAAACTCGCCGCGTCTGCGGTCTAAATGTCGCGTGTCGTCTCGAGTAGTCCCAGAGCCCCCCACCACCCCCCCACCACCACCCCCCCCACCACCACCCCCCCACCACCACCCCCCCACCACCACCCCCCCACCACCACCCCCCCACCACCACCACCACCCCCCCACCACCACCCCCCCACCACCACCCCCCCACCACCCCCACCACCAAACAGTCACAGCGTCGAGGATTTCCCCTTTGCATGGACTCCTCTGTGCCCACCTCCCGCTGTGTCCTCGCGAGAGGCGGTGGTCTCCGGGGACGTTCCCGAAGCCTCCGACGGCGACGTTTAGCAGCGGCTCGGCGAGAGGCCCCACGTGGCCACGGCCTCGGCCCGGCCCACGATTGGTCCAATTCGTCATCCGGCTCCTCCCACCGGCCCGTTTGAGGCCGGGCTGAGCGGCCGCCCGTCGCTTCCGGGAGGCGAGAGGACGGATCGGCGGGTGGTGGGTGGGTGGTGGTGTTGGGCGATCTTTGTCCGTGTGCGTCTCTCACCCGTGTCCCGTCTGCAGGAGCGAGGGACGGGCGATGTCTCTGCGCTGGCTGTGCGTGTCCGCCTCCGCCGCTGTCTGCCTCGCTTTGGGGGTGCTCTCCCTCGTCTACTTCAGGCAGATCATGCGGCGGGAACTTGAAAAAGTGAGAAGGGTCGGTGGCCCCCGTGTCTCTCTCCCGTGTGTGTCTCTCTTGTCTCTCTCTCTCGTGTCTCTCTTGTCTCTCTCTCTCGTGTCTCTCTCGTGTCTTTCTTGTCTCTCTCTCGTGTCTCTGTCTCTCTCTCTGTCTCTCTCGTGTCTCTCTCTCGTGTCTCTCTCGTGTCTCTCTCTTTTGTGTCTCTCTCTCGTGTCTCTCTCTCGTGTCTCTCTGTGTCTCTCTCTCTGTCTGTCTCTCTCTGTCTCTCTCTCTTATCTCTCTCTGTCTCTCTCTCGTGTCTCTCTCTCTGTCTCTCTCTCTGTCTCTCTCTGTCTCTCTCTCTCTGTCTCTCTCTCTCTGTCTCTCTCTCTCTGTCTCTCTCTCTCTGTCTCTCTCTCGTGTCTCTCTCTCGTGTCTCTCTCTCGTGTCTCTCTCTCTGTCTCTCTCTCGTGTCTCTCTCTCTGTCTCTCTCTCTCTGTCTCTCTCGTGTCTCTCTCGTGTCTCTCTCTCTCGTCTCTCTCTCTGTCTCTCTCTCGTGTCTCTCTCTCTGTCTCTCTCTCTCGTGTCTCTCTCTCTCGTCTCTCTCTGTCTGTCGTGTCTCTCTCTGTCTCTCTGTCTCTCTCTCTCTCTCGTCTCTCTCTGTCTCTTTCTCTCTCTGAGCGTGCTGGGGGGAGTCCGCGCCCAGGTGGAGCTCCCGAGCTCTCTCCTGGCGCACAGTGGAGGCCCGGCTCTTTTCAGCGTCGCCATACCGAGAGAGGCTCCGCGGAGAAACTCGCAGCGGCTCCTTCCCCTCTTCCTTTCACTCCCCTTCTGTTTTAGTTTTATTTCCTTTCATTTGGCTCACCGAGCCCGGCGAGCGATAGACCGCGGGCGATCGGCACGTGAGTGTTTCCCCCGGCGTCGTCGTCACCGGCGCACGGCGCGGGTGGTGAGGACGGCAGCGGCAGCGGCACCGGGACGGAGAACCTCGCGAGGAGTGAACGGCGTGGTCACCGTTCACTCACCACGCTACGTCACACTACGTCACACTACGTCACACTACGTCACAATATGTCACACTACGTCACACTACGTCACACTACGTCACACTCACCACACTACATCACACTCATCACACTACGTCACACTACGTCACAATACGTCACACTCACCACATTACGTCACACTACGTCACACTACGTCACACTACGTCACACTACGTCACACTACGTCACACTCACCATACTACGTGACACTACGTCACACTACGTCACACTACGTCACACTACGTCACACTCACCACGCTACGTCACACTCACCACACTACGTCACACTACGTCACACTACGTCACACTACATCACACTACGTCACACTACGTCACACTACGCCACGCTACGTCACACTACGTCACGCTACGTCACACTCACCACACTACGTCACACTACGTCACACTACGTCACGCTACGTCACACTACGTCACACTACGTCACACTACGTCACTCTACGTCATGCTACGTCACACTATGTCACACTACGTCACACTACGTCACTCTACGTCACGCTACGTCACACTACGTCACACTACGTCACACTACATCACACTACGTCACACTACGTCACACTACATCACACTACGTCACACTCACCACGCTACGTCACACTACGTCACACTACGTCACACTACGTCACACTCACCACACTACGTCACACTCACCACACTACGTCACACTACGTCACACTCACCACACTACGTCACACTCACCACACTATGTCACACTACGTCACACTACATCACGCTACGTCACACTACGTCACACTACACCACACTACGTCACGCTACGTCACACTACGTCACACTACGTCACACTACGTCACACTACGTCACACTACGTCACACAACATCACACTCACCACACTACGTCACACTACGTCACACTACGTCACACTACGTCACACTACACCACACTACGTCACGCTACGTCACACTACGTCACACTACGTCACACTACGTCACACTACACCACACTACGTCACACTACGTCACGCTACGTCACACTACATCACGCTACGTCACACTACGTCACGCTACGTCACGCTACGTCACACTACGTCACACTACGTCACACTACGTCACACTACGTCACACTACGTCACACTCACCACACTACGTCACACTACGTCACACTACGTCACGCTACGTCACACTCACCACACTACGTCACACTACGTCACACTACGTCACACTACGTCACACTCACCACACTACGTCACACTACGTCACACTACGTCACGCTACGTCACACTACGTCACACTACGTCACACTACGTCACACTCACCACACTACATCACACTCATCACACTACGTCACACTCACCACACTACATCACACTCATCACACTACGTCACACTCACCACACTACGTCACACTCACCACACTACGTCACACTACGTCACACTACGTCACACTACGTCAGGCTACGTCACACTACGTCACACTCACCACACTCCGTCACACTCACCACACTACGTCACACTCCGTCACACTCACCACACTACGTCACACTACGTCACACTACGTCACACTACGTCACATTCACCACACTACGTCACACTACGTCACACTCACCACACTACGTCACACTACGTCACACTACGTCACACTACGTCACGCTACGTCACACTACGTCACACTACGTCACACTCACCACACTACGTCACGCTACGTCACACTACGTCACACTACGTGACACTACGTCACACTCACCACACTACGTCACACTACGTCACACTCACCACACTACGTCACACTACGTCACACTACGTCACGCTACGTCACACTACGTCACACTACGTCACGCTCGTCACGCTACGTCACACTCACCACACTACATCACACTCATCACACTACGTCACACTACGTCACACTCACCACACTACATCACACTACGTCACACTACGTCACACTACGTCACACTACGTCACACTCACCACGCTACGTCACACTACGTCACACTACGTCACACTACGTCACACTACGTCACGCTACGTCACACTACGTCACACTACGTCACACTACGTCACGCTCGTCACGCTACGTGACACTACGTCACACTACGTCACACTACGTCACACTCACCACACTACGTCACACTCACCACACTACGTCACACTCACCACACTACGTCACACTACGTCACACTACGTCACACTACGTCACACTCACCACACTACGTCACACTACGTCACACTACGTCACACTACGTCACACTATGTCACACTCACCACACTACGTCACACTACGTCACACTACGTCACACTCACCACACTACGTCACACTACGTCACGCTACGTCACACTACGTCACACTACGTCACACTACGTCACGCTACGTCACACTACGTCACACTACGTCACACTACGTCACACTCACCACACTACGTCACACTACGTCACACTACGTCACGCTACGTCACACTACGTCACACTACGTCACACTACACCACACTACGTCACACTACGTCACACTACGTCACACTACGTCACACTCACCACACTACGTCACACTACGTCACACTACGTCACGCTACGTCACACTACGTCACGCTACGTCACACTACGTCACACTACGTCACACTACGTCACACTCACCACACTACGTCACACTACGTCACACTACGTCACACTACGTCACACTCACCACACTACGTCACGCTACGTCACACTACGTCACACTACGTCACACTACGTCACACTACATCACACTACGTCACACTCACCACACTACGTCACACTACGTCACACTACATCACACTCACCACACTACGTCACACTACGTCCCGCTACGTCCCGCTCGCCACGCTACGTCACGCTACGTCACACTACGTCACACTACGTCACACTACGTCACGCTACGTCACGCTACGTCACACTACGTCACACTACGTCACACTATGTCACACTACGTCACACTCACCACACTACGTCACACTACGTCACACTACGTCACACTACGTCACACTACATCACAATATGTCACACTACGTCACGCTACGTCACACTACGTCACACTACGTCACACTCACCACACTACGTCACACTACGTCACACTACGTCACACTACGTCACACTACGTCACACTACATCACAATATGTCACACTACGTCACGCTACGTCACACTACGTCACGCTACGTCACACTACGTCACACTACGTCACACTACGTCACACTCACCACACTACGTCACACTACGTCACACTACGTCACACTCACCACACTACGTCACACTACGTCACACTACGTCCCACTACGTCACACTACGTCACACTACGTCACACTACGTCACACTACGTCACGCTCGTCACACTACGTCACACTACGTCACACTACGTCACACTACGTCACGCTACGTCACGCTACGTCACGCTACGTCACACTACGTCACACTCACCACACTACGTCACACTACGTCACACTATGTCACACTACGTCACACTACGTCACACTACGTCACGCTCACCACACTACGTCACACTACGTCACACTACGTCACACTACGTCACACTCACCACACTACGTCACACTACGTCACACTACGTCACACTCACCACACTACGTCACACTACGTCACACTATGTCACACTACGTCACACTACGTCACACTACGTCACACTCACCACACTACGTCACACTACGTCACACTACGTCACACTACGTCACACTCACCACACTACGTCACACTCACCACACTACGTCACGCTACGTCACACTACGTCACACTACGTCACACTACGTCACACTCACCACACTACGTCACACTACGTCACACTCACCACACTACGTCACACTACGTCACACTACGTCACACTACGTCACACTACGTCACACTCACCACACTACGTCACACTATGTCACACTCACCACACTCACCACACTACACCACGCTACGTCACACTCACCACACTACGTCACACTCACCACACTACGTCACACTACGTCACACTACGTCACACTACGTCACACTACGTCAC